AATTAACAAACGGAGACGTAACAATATATACATACTAGTCCAGTCCCGGTAGACTAGAACATCCAGTGGATGTTACTCCTGTCCTTGTAGTCTCAGACATTACAGTGAACTTGTGGAGTTGAAAATACCAGTAAATCTATGAAAGGTTCTCCTGCCCTGGTATTTTATAACAGAGGTTCATAAACTTTTTTGTTAATAGAACACCTGAGTATTTAATATCTGTGTGCCATAATAGGATCTACACACTATGTTGACATTTCTTTTCTATAACGATACAACCTCTTCACAGACCACAGATTGTGAATTACTGACCTATAATATTCTAATGAATATAATATATTGTTACGTCTCTGTTTGTTAATCAACTTTCCGTAACTTTGTTCCGACAAAACTTAAGCGACACAAGTACTTTCTTGATAAAACTGGTTTATTCTTTCCGAATACAACTTTACGATACACTTATTTTCAACAGTCGCGCTAAAACAAACGCTATAACAACAATACGTCTCTCTCTGACTGCAGATCAATTACACACTGTCTACACACATTACATTACCGCGTCACGTTGTCCCCCTCTTTTATATACCCGACTACCCTATATCTAGTAAATACTAGAGCATTCGCCAAAGTACAGGATAGTTCTAGAAAATAGGTGGCGCCACACTAGTCACGTGACCTCGATGACGCAACAGTATATATGGTATTTGAAAACTACTTACACAAAATAAACCATATTCCCAAAGTTATTTAAACAGCAGGTAATGCGAATGATAATTTATTCCTCCACACCATTCAGAAAATAAAGTGTTTGTAGGAATGTAATATAAAAAAGAAAATGAAACTTAGTCTATTCTTACATTTGAAACATGTCATTGAATTAAGAATAATTTCAAAGGATTTAACCTTTAAGGTAATGAATGTACCTTACCTGTGGTGTGTACCAGTTCAAACACTATACACAGAGAATGAAGGTCACCAATGCACAAAAAATGAACAGCTTGAATGATGGCCACTTGAAGCAGATCTAGTGACCAAGGATTCATATTTTCCATTGTTTCACTGACATATCCATCAAAAATCACTGCTCTAGGATGAGCAAATTTTATTTATGCCTGAACATGCCAAGAAACTTCATCAGGACCCTGTATAATTATGACACTTTTTTCAACTATTAACAGTATCTGTTCTGGAATACCTATGTAACTGGCTATACCTATATTCCAAATCATCGATTAATATACACTCCAGTATAATGTAGTGTATCTTAAACTATACTGCTCACTTTATTTCATCTCAGTTACTAATAGTGATACTTTTGTGTTAATTTTATTTCTCTGCATTCCATTTCCATGATGTAACATCTCTAAGTTCATGCTTCATTGTCATTTGATCAATATATTTTACTCCTGAAGCAAAATCATTGTAATTTCTGTACAGACATATTATAATAGGGGACAAGATATGCCAAGTTTTAACAATGTTAGTTGGCATTAACTTCTCAGCTACTTTGCAATTATTAACATTTATTAAAATTTCTTCACACATGGGAAAACTATAAAATACTTGTAGCTCTTGTTTCTGATTGTACAGAGTAAGAAATGATCAACATATATACACATTGAAAGTGAACTTTTGACATCATTTAGAACTTCATTAATATCATTATTATTAAAAGTTACGTCATTTGTTTCACCAAATTAGCATACTGTATAACTATGTAGGTAATACAGAGATGAAACATTATTTTACTGATCATTAACTCTCTCAAAAGTAAATTTTCAGAAAACAATAAAAGTGAAACTTAAGACTGTTGCTGGGTACATTAAAAAAAAACTGTTTATTTATTTATTTTTCATATATTACAAACATCATAAAAGTTTGCATCACTTTTATACTCAGGTCCCTGTACTGTAATGTATCTTCCACTCATATAATAAACATTCTCTATCTTAAACTCTCACACATTTCATAAGTATCAGCTGTCTCAAATAATTAACACATGCATTTACACTGATATATTGCACTAAGAACATTGAACACAAAAAGTACTATATGAATTAAAGCACTAAGGATTTAGAAGTAATATTTTTTGTATCTTTGAATATGAGGTTCAAACCAAAGACTACCATCCGGCATTGGATTATATAAAACTCCAATATTATCGGCTCATACTGCGGTCTTCAAGAGCCTCTCAATTTTGTTAATAATTTCTCCAGTTTCTGAATCATTCACATCTTTTCTTGAAATGCAATGTTGAAGTTCTTTCTGCAAACCTTGAGCAATGGTGGGTGGTGCTGGTCCTAACAGACCAAAATATTGTCCCATGAGAACATTTTTACACAGCCTCTGTAAGAAGAAAACATATGCTATCATGAAAAAGAAGCGAATAAAAATATTGTGGTTAGGTTCTGCTCAATAAAAGACTTTTACTAATAGTAACTTATGAGTGAAAGTGAAGTGTTTATTGATATGTCAGTTACACTATATCTTCTATATCCAGTGCTGACAAAGCATTTTGCCCAAAACAGGGCTCTTTAGACTGGCTTGGTCATGATAGACATAGTAATGCATGGTTGAGACCTTATTTATATTAGGAAAGTTAACATTTTCTTTACTTGTAAGTGTATATTAGATAAATGTTTGTGAATGTGCCAAACCTTATATTATATTAACCCCTTTAGTGCCAGTCTACAAAGTAATCATCATTAGACCATAACCATGCATGAATAGGAAGGTGACAGATCCTCCATGCCCAAAGAAACACCAGAAGTGAGGATGAAGGGTGGGAGGTTCTCTGGGGACATATGTATCTGAAATACATTAGCCAGATGTGAGGATAGGACATACATAGTGCAGTCAATTTTATTTTTCCTGAAGTACAGCCTGGAAGGTAAGATATATAAATACTATCAAAGCAGTTTTGTGGAAAATCCCACATCAACAGCAACCACTGAGCATGGACACAGTTAGGCTTAACAATTTCTGTTATCCTCCACTTGATGTGCAGGTTTTGTGTGAGAGAGAAGCATTCCCTGTGAGGCAACATCAGCCACACAGTAGGTTCCATCTTCTCTATAATATAGATATATTTAATAAATAAGGTGGTTGTGAGACCTGCAAAAAACAGTAAAATTAATAACTCACTTTCTTAGAGCCTTTGTGAAAATTCGAGAATGGCAACTATAGGGAAATGAAAAGCACAATGTGGTGTAAGTAATCTGACACAAGGATATCAGAGGTCACCTACATTCCCTCTGCAAGATCTCATCTAGGATACATCGATGACTACAGACAAGGGAAGCCATAAGATGACATACTTGATGGGAGGAGACATGAAAAAAGTAAAATGTCCACCCCCCCCCCAAAAAAAAGAATAGATGGATAAAGCAGTGTCAAGTTGGAAGAAAATAAGTAGCAAAAGGAAAAGGAATCCCACGGAAAGAAAAATGTTATCAATTGTAAGACAAAAGAAACAATAAAAGTCTAAACAATTATACAGAGAAGAAAGATAAGAGAGGATGATTAAAAAAACATCCAATAACTTCCCCAGGAAGCACAAGTTTTGGGAAGGACTGTCTCTTTAGCACAATGTCAGAGCAGCATCTCCTATATGCAAGAAAACATATTTTAAGAGAAAAGTAGTACAGAAAACAAGTGGTGGCTAATGGATCAAACAGGAGATAGGTAAGAGCACAGAGATTCAAGACCAGAATAGTAACCAGATGAGGAGGAAAATGGAAGAAGGAGGCTTGGAAGAGATCCATAAGAACTGGGGAAAGAAACAGAGAATGGCTGGGGAAATGACAGAAGAGTATTGATAAGATCATTCTGTAACTAGTGATAGTAAAAATCGAAGTCCACAAGGTGGATAGACATATAGAAAGATACTGGACAAGTCCCAACTCTGAGCACCTATTGCAAAAGTCCATAACTTGAGATCAACATAGTGGAAGCTAGGTGTTGAGGAGAGTTGCAAAGACATCAATGAAAGGACTCCCAAAATGGCAGCTGAAGTCCACTGAAAACACCAGAAGACATATACCCCACTCTGTAAAAAGGGTCCAGTCTGGGTAAGACAGTCAATCTACCAACAGGGTCAAAGCTCCCAGAACATGATAGACCAACAACCAAATGTGGTGATTGTGAGATCTAATAAGAAAGTCTAGAGCAAGGAAACAAGGATCCTGAGAGTGAGTGCCTCCCTGAAATAAGA